GAAACTATTGTCCTTTAAGGCTGCATATTTTCAGGCAATGGCTGTTCTTGAAAATGCTACCTGTATTGATTTTTGTCATGTTTTCAATCATGCTTCTATTTCATGGGCCCATTAATGAAAAGTGCCTGCAAAACTCCCAATATTGCTTCTTTCCTCCCTTTAGAACACATAAAAGAGTCAAGTCTCTAAGCCCTAATCCTATATTCATACCACATTTCTCTAGGGCATCAATTTCTGGTTTATTCTCTTGGCTTGAGTTTTCACCATTTATCCCAAGTGTAAATCATGTGTTTGCTTACTGGACAGATGAGGCTTTCATGTCCCCCCAGTTGCATACTGCTTGCTGAGGATCTCTTGTCACCATATGTAATGTAAGTGGATGTAAAGGTCACATTTATCATTTCTGAAATGCCAATATTGAATGTTAATTTTGCAGTTTCACATTTGAAGTGGTTTAGAGTTAGATATCCAGCTGAACTCATTTGGCTGGTCTGGCTGTATTATGTAAGAACAGAGTGGACTAATGCTAAATTTAGCATACTTAGGCACTCGAGAGTGCACCAGGTCATAGTGTATGTGACTTTGTGTGTGACTTGGTCACTGGAGCTGCTTCTTGGGGTTTTTGTTTGGGTTTTTTTACATGTATAATCCTATCAAAAATCTGAATTCACATTAACATTGATGGATGAAAGATACCTAGATTGTTACACAAAATGTAACAAATGCTTTGTGCACAGACAGTATCAGTCAATCATGAATGGATATGTTATCTCCAGTCCTATTTTCCTTGCTGGAAGGGGGTCCGAAACAGTTTCAATAGTAGAATGCTTAGGAAGAGATTTTGTTTCATATTAAGTCAAGCTCTTTCTTTTTTTTTAATGTAATCCATGTATTTATGTAAAAATCTATAGTCATCTTTTTCTCAGTGTAGTGCAAATCTGTTACTACTTTATATATATAAATTAGAATGAAGTGTCATATCAGATACGCAACACAAAATATTAAGATCAAGGAAGTAGTTATGATAAACATAAATCGCCCTGCTGCAAATTGAAAGTGTATGATTTTGGAACAGTAAACTTTCACAGTTACCTGCTCCTTGTACAGAGATAACTGGATGCAATATTAATGCTTTGTCTAGATTAAATGAAGTGGATGAATACTACTGATAGGAGTACAGGATACTACTGAAGTTCTCTAAGCTGTCTGCCAAAAATGTCATGCCAATTCTGTTTTAATTTGCCATGGAAGTGCTTAAGCATTTAAGTTTGTTAGTAGGTATTATTGTGCTAAATATCTTACTACATGGAGAAGAAAACCTTTTGTCTGTATTCTATACATAAATTCTGAGTTTCTATAGTAGAGAATTCATTATCTCTTCTTAGAGAAGTGTTACCATGTTCCTCAAGCTTGGGGACTTAAATAGCATATCAATGACACCTAGTTCTCAATGTGCCTTTTTCTATTTAAAATACAAGTGTTTCAGACCTGACAGTGGCTAGAACCATTTTCCAGGTTTATCTTCTCTTAGAGGTGTACAGCTAATGCCTGTTGAAAACTTCCAGGGTAGGCTGAAGCAGTATTCTGAGTCAAGAAATGTAGCAGACTGTGAGTCAAAGGGGAGAGGACTTACTATGTTGTTTTGCCAATTTTTGTTTGTTTATTTTGATATGTAAAAAATGCCTTAATAGCTGGAGGATGACAAAGCAAAATATTGTCAAAAGTTTTGTGTAGTGAATGCACTCGTAGGTCGCTGGCACCACCTTGTGCTAACAGTGATGTATAGCAGTCTTTGCCAAGGATGCTTTTTGCCGTTTATTGGTCGTAATATATACATATGTACAGCAGAGAGCTAACTTGTAACCAGGATTTTTTACTTTTCTATGTATTTCAGTTCTGATGAAGTTAACTGATTTACAATGCCTATGCATTAAAATGATCATTTCAGTATACTGTTCTTCTGTTGTGCTTTTGTATCCAGCATTTTCTGTGTAATGCTAAATGCTGCTTTTGCAGTTCCTGTGGTGAGTATTCCACAGATTACAAGTATTATCAGTGAGAGGAAAAATGCCTTTTCACTCAGTGGTTATGACTGTGTGGTATATATTTCATAAAGCATCTTGTACTGGCTTTTAGCTACGAGATATTCTGAAACTGGACAGTTTTAGCTCTGACTGTTTCTTGCTATATTAGAGTTCTCCCATGAATGCTATTTCATACAATTATTAACAGGTTTTCCGTACCATTTTTCAGAAAAGTGTTCTCATTTTAATTAAGGAGGTGTGGAGATTTGTTTATTTTTAGTTTTAAAATATATTATCCTATTCCACCCTTCAATTTCTTTGCATTCCAGTGTAGTCAGGTCTGAAATACTTTATTGGGAAACAGCAGAGACACAGTATTTCAGTGGAGTGTGATGCCATACAGAGCCTGACTGAGCTTTGATACTGTTGAAAACTTCCAGGGTAGGCTGAAGCAGTATTCTGAGTCAAGAAATGTAGCATACATACTAAAGTATGTGCACATATCATTTGGGTTCTCTACCAGTCAAGAATCTACAGTGTAGGATTAGTTCCTGAAAGGATCTGTTACATCTTACGTCTTGACCTTTCTTGTGTCTCACCTAGTAGAAAATGCTACAATAGCTGTGACTTAGATTAGTGGAGCCTTCTTGCCCCTGCCCATCCCTAAAAATGGAGGAATTCTGGGAATGGGAAAAATACTCCCAACAACAGAAAAATGGAATGTCGGAGAAAACCAGATGGATGTTACTTCTGTGTGGCCATGACGTTCTGCAAACACCCATGCTTCCCCTCTTTTGTTTTGGGTCTAAGGAACTCCAGAGCTGTGCATAACTTAGTAACCTTGCAGACAGAACTGTCAAGCTTTCCTGCAATCCTGGGCTGTTACAAACTGTAGCACAGCACTTGCTGCAGTGTCAGCCCTTACTTTGTGATTTGTGTCAGTGTGTGATTGATTAACTTAAATATGCCCACAGAGAAAATGTTTGAAGCTACCTGGTAGCATTTGTGTAGGCAGAAGGGGATCAGTTCATTTGCAATGACAGCGAGTGTAACTCATTAATGTAAAAATGTTAAAATACGGAGAGTTATGTTTTTTCTTCCTTCCATAATGTTTTGACAACTCTCTCTCAAAAAAAAAGATGTGGAAACTATATATTGTAATGAATTCATACATCATTATTATTCATAGAAGGCCTCATTTGTGAAACAGTTCTACAATATTTCTGATTTTGAGATTTCATTGAGACATTCCTGGATGTGCAATAGATGAATAATTCTTTATGATGCAACTTAAAATGTTCTCCCTATGTTCTGATGTCCTTTTTTTCTTTCAAATCAAATAACAAGTAACATAAAAATAAAGATGGTTCTTTCCATGTAGCAATTGAACCTTTAACTCAGTGCTAATGCAACAGAACTTACTTTTTGAAAGAGATTTGGGTTTTGATCATGTCAGAGAATGTCTGGAATATGCAACATACGGAATTCAGTCATCCAGCTTTTTCTCAGGCAAAGTTCCCACTGATTCTGGTTGGGCTGCCAGCTTTGCCTGTGATTAGAGAAGTTGAAAGGCTCTGAAGTACAGGCCTACAGGATGCATAGCCTGCAAAGTGAATGTTAAATTTTGGCATGGTCAGCTGAGGAGCTGTGAAGCCTGCCCTTATGATTTCTTGGCTCTGTCTCCTCATAATGTTTTTTGTTTGCAAAACTGTTCATCCAGTGGAGTCTGAAAGGATGTAGGGAGAGAGAGGAGATGCAGACCCATGGAATAAAGTAATTGTGAATTAAGCTTAAAACATAGCTTCAACCTTTTGTTTAATATTTCATCCCTTTCTGTGATGAGTTGATGCAGAAGATTGACAGTGTGGGAGCTCCTTGTCAGGATGCATCCCTCTTAGCTGTGGCACTCATAAAGGATTTACTGTAGTTAACACATACAATGTAGCTCAGCCCTGGAAGACATGGAGTTCACCTTGCTCCATCAGTAAAGGTCTGTGATGTCAGTGAACAGTTGGAGTATTGGTTGACACTATGCACCACAGGGCCAGAAAGTATAAATCCTGCTTTTTGTAGAATAGCCTTTATTTTTGCAGTGGCTGTGTTAGATACCAAGATTCTTCAGACGGTTAGCCAGAATCAAGTGCTTACTCTTCAGAGAGCATTATAAATGCCTAACCCCTTGAGAAGATCAAGCATGTAAATCAGCAGCCCAAAGTCAAAGGTCATCTCTGTGGGCTGGTGTGGACAAAGTAAGTCTTTCCCATGTTTATTCACCAGAGTCAAAGACAACTGGAGCAGATGTTTATGCTCTGAGAGACTGGCAATAATTCTGCAATCGGCTTCCCTCTTGTTGATTTTGTGATTTTATTTTTTGACAACGGTTTTGTTATGCAGCCCTGTGTCCCAAGCTAAAACATCCCAACATGACACTACAGATGTCTGCTCTGAGTCATGCTGGTCACAAACCCAGGTCACTGAGTAGAAGTATAAGAGGAGGAGACAAAAGGATAGAGAGAAACATAAGGAACCTCAGCAACAGTAGGGCAGTAGCAAGGAAAAGGGTAACTATGGGAAAACAGAGGAGAAACCAGAAAAGAATATATACAAAAATGAAGAGCAAACTGAGTAACAAGGACAGCAATAAGAAACCAAGGATAAACAGGAGAGGGAAGAAAAGAAGCAGGAACAGGGCAGAGTAAGAGAAAAAGGAGAGCATGGATGAAACAAGAAAGAAGGGGTCCTGAAATACAACCTGAGCTTTAATTCCTAGTACACCAGAAGTTCTCTCTTCAGGCTCAAGGTTAAATATATGAATAATTTGTCCCATTGTGCCAGTAGTGGAGGGAAAGAAGAGGAGCTGGGGTAGATTTTTCTCATGAGTACTCTCTACTTTTATCTTCTGTGCCCAAAAGCAAAGTCACGTGAGCTCTCTGAATTCCGCAAGACAATAGGTAGGGCCACAGCCCAAAGCACCATCTATTTTTGTTTCTCTTTAATTTCAACTTTAAGGATCTCTCCTTCTCCTGCTCTGGGAGATGGTGACATACTAATGATCAGAGACTCCTTACTGGTTGCTCTCTGCATAACTGCAGGCTGAGTATCTGCCTGTGGCTCCTCCTTTTGAGCAGGGGGTGCAGAGGAGGTTGCTGGCTCCATGGGCTCCTTTTTCTCTTCTGTAGGCTTAGTCTCTGTTTCAGCTGGAGTTTCCTAGAAACAAGAAGTTTAATGTTTTCTAATATTGCAGAGGAAACTCAGGCAGTAGTTCTATTCGGTATGTGCCGTGGAAAGGCACAGCATGGCAACTATGATTAATGGTATACAACATATGTAAATTTCTATTGAGATGCTGAAAATCAATTTCTAAATGAAAAATGCCATTTCAGAATCAGAATGTCAGTGTAAAACCTAGGAAAAGCTTGTGGATAATGATAGTATCAGCTTCTTACTAATATATCAGGATGTAAGAGGACTGTTTTGGGACACAGAACCCTTCCTTAGGTCTTGCCTTCCTTTATGTACTTACTAGGGGAGAAAGAAAGTGTTAGGTAAATCTTGTCATACTGCCCACAACCCCAATTACTTGGCTAAATCTATTTGCTGGTAAGTTCACAAATATGCATTAAATTGGGCAGTGTTTCTGCTCCAATCACAGTGTTGTAGTCATTTGTGTAAGCAGAGTTCTTTATTTGACTTAAATAAGACCACAGCCAGTTCAGCTGTAAAGAAAAGAATTCTACCATCTTTGAGTAAATATGTAGACCAGAGTAGGTTCTTACTAACATTTCTCAGAATGGAGTATAATGTGGGAATTATTTTTCATCAGTTAAAATAACAATTTTCTCATAAGTGCAATATATTAGAGATTTAATCAGTTTTAGCTGTGTGGGCTACACTTTAAATTTTGTCTTTGGGATTTGTAACAACCAGATATCTGACATTGAATTGGAAGGTTCACTGTGTGCCTGAGTCAGCTGGATCAGATTACTGTGTTAGGATATTTCTATATTTACTGTTGTTTATATAAAGTTAGAAAATCAGATGCCCTCAGGACCTTTGTAAAGTCTATTTTAGCCTTGCTTTCTTTGAGGATTTTGTTTGCTTTCTTTTTTCCTTGCTTTTGTTTTCTCTGCTCTGCATAGAGCCCAGGTTCAGAAAGATTTGAGCCAAATTTTAGAATCAGTGTATACATAGCTTAGGTAGAGTGGTTATATCTCAGCTACTGGGATTTTTTGATGTGGATTGCAGTAAGGCTAAATTTTCATCTAGTCTATTTGCTGAAGCCATCTCAGTATCTTTCAGCATCTGGATGATTGTACTCTGTTTTCTATGGCTTTACCTGAGTGTCTTGTTGTCTCTTCAGCTGCAGCAGTTTAGCTAGACCTTCTCTTCCCCTTCCTCCAAGCATTGCTCTAAACAATTTTGGAGTTTCTGGTTTCGGCCCAAAGAGACTGGCCAGGCCCCGTGGTTGTTGCACTGTTGGTCCTGGAGGAGGTTTCCCCTTCTGCTTCAGCAGCACCCTGGAGACAGAAGGGAATGAGAGCACAGCAGTGCTGTGAAACTGATCAAGTTCCTGCAAAACTGAAGTGCCACATTCATACATGAAAATCTGGCAACTTTTACTGTCATTTTTTGTTATTATCAGGCCCAGTGGAAAGAGCAAAACTGGAAATGGTAAGGGTTTTATGCTAGACTCTGATAAGACTTGGAGGCAACTCTTCAAATTTGGAGTTGCTTACTTATATCCTGGACAATACACAAGTGCTGGCTCAAATTAAGGTGTCATAAAGCAAATGTGAGTTTTATGAGTTAAGAAGTGTGGAGAGTGGTGAATGCTCTGTACCTGAGGTGGCAGTCTCTTTCCTGGTCTTCTGGATGCAAATTCTGAGAGCATTTAGTGCTCCATTGGAAGTCTGGCTGACACTCTTGGAAGTACTGGTCTACCAAACTAACTTAGAGCATGTCTCATCTGTCATAGGTCAGGTTAGACAGTGGTACTTATTTTTGGTCTGCTTCTGTAGAAGATGCTCTGAAGATTTAAACATTACTGCCAATCATATGCAGACATATGCAGAATAGATTTTCACACCGTTCTGTAGCTGTACTGATTTTCAGCCATAATGACAAGAAGTGAGAATGAGCAATGAGGGTAAAGATTATATGACAGTTCCAAGATAGATGGGACTAGTGAACTGCAGAGGATTCCCATCCTTTCCATTTCTATTAGTTCACTTTATAGTTTTCAAGGCAACTTTTCTGTCCTTGCAAAAGCCCTGACTTAAGGCTCATTGTGAACAAGAACTATACAGTCTGAAGTGCAGTAAATCCCACAATACTGTAATTTTGTCCAGCATCTCGTAGTATGGGAATTTCAAAGTGATGGTTCTACTCTTTTTTTTTTCAGTTTTATTGTCATGAATTTAAAAAGTGCACTTCAGCAATTTGCATGGGCTTCTTATGTAAAGACCATACAGTGGGTATCAGGCAGGTGATAATAGAACAAATTTCTAGCTTCAATAAATCCTTTGAGTTAATTTCAAAAGGTTATTTAAAGATGCCAGATGGCCACAGCAACCTCTAATGTAACCTTCCAGGGCAGAGCAACTAGTAACTTCATTCTAAAAGTGGACATAACTTCGATCTTTATCAAAACAGTCCACAAATTTCCTCTCGGTGCCTAGTTTTGGCAGAATTAGTGGATGCCTAGACACGTGAGCAAAATACATGGCTGGACAGGTACTGCATATATTTAAAATTTAACAGGATATCATGCATCTCATCTGATAACTAGAGAGGGCTTTGAACTCAGATGGGAGTGCAGATACAAAAGATGGATGATTAAGCTCCTGCAGTTGAGAAAGGCTACCAGTAGGAAGCAGAATTTAAGAGCTTGGCAGAATGTGATTAGGGTGGGCAAGACAGCAGAAGACGTAGTGTGGGACAGAGAGACAGGAATAACAGGTAGTGGTTGTACTACTGTTTAGATAGAAGCTGGAGAAACAGCAGGAAAGATAAATGCCGGGAACCATCAGTCAATGGATTTGTTCTGCTTTTCTACCTGTTGATGCTAATTTTGAAAACTGGGCAATCAGCCCATTCTGTGCCTTGGTTCCTCATTCCTCAGGGGCAACATGATCCTCAAGATGCTGTGGTTTGACAAACGGCTGTGCAACATGCTGAATGCAGCCGTCTGCTAGCACTTCCACTAAACAAAATGTCACTCCCTTGCTATGTTTAGTCTACTCTGGTGGAATTTCAAGTCTGGGACCAACCTTCCAACCTTTGATAGCAATGCCAGGCAACAGCTGAGAACAACAGGAGTGCTGAAATATACTAATGATGGCAAACTATTTCAAGTATTGGGGCCTTTTACAAGGTAGCAATGTACTTATTTTGTCATAATTTTACGGCAAAATCTGACAATACTTTGCCCTTTCAAAGCTGGGGAAACAGTGATCCTAGTAAGCTACAGCCAAAGGTGAAAGCACTTTGGGTTTGAAATCCCATTTTGGAATGCTTTTGAACAAAATGCACAGCTCTCTAATCTGTGTACTTCCATCCTGTTAGGCCTTTAAATCCCTTCCTAACTATTGCTTAAGGTTTTGGAAATGTATCCAGCTCTGTGGGTGCATTGAAGCATATCTCTGTAGCATTGATTGCAAGGGTTTGGTTGCATCTTTGAAAACCTACTCCTTAATTGACAGCTGTCCTGCAGTTTCTTTCTTGACTATGTAGGGAGTCCTGATATATATTCTTACCTCATATTTGTTTTGTCAAATACAATGCAGAAGGCAACTGCATTCAGGACTTTGTTCTACTTACCACATTTCCACAACCCTTGGGGTTCCTGCCAAGGCCATGCTTTCCTGTAGAAACTACCAGACAAGTCTGATCTCTAAACACAAATGTGTTTACCTCTGTTGTTCTTGCAAGAATGGAATGCAAATCTGTCTAGAAGTCACAGCTGTCCATTCTGCAGCTAAATGATATGATTTAAAAACTGTTACATACTTTGCTTTCTTCATGAGAAGTTTTTCTGAGTCAGGATAGTGCACCAAGATTTCATTGAGTGTTTTCTTGTCCAGAATGAAAAGGTTGGCAAAACCATGAGCCACCACGTTGGCAGTCCTTCGATTTCCTCCACCTGCAGCTAATAGGCTGGAATAAAAATCAGCATCATCAGTCACAATGTTACTTGCCCTAGTGAGGAATCTCTTTGCTCCTGGTTCTCCATTAAAGTAATTGTAAAGCTCCCTTACATACCCGATTGTTCTAGCTGATGTTCTGTAAAGGCCCTGTATGGTTGGGATTAGAAATGTCTTCTTGCCTCAGCAAGGCAAAATGCCACTACTGGTCAGGTATACGTAGATGGTAAGGACTGTGAAAAGTTTTGCTAGACAGAGACATTTCTGCCAAGAGACACCCACAGCAAGGATTGCACTTGTTTTAATCCTCATGTGAACTCGGCATTTCCTCAATTTTGTTGTTGAAAATTATTTACAGCTGAAGCAGAGCAGCACAAGTCCGTTATTACTGAATGAATTATTTACAATTAATGAATAATTCTCCAAGAATTTTAATTGTCCTGTGTGAATAACTTCTGTGAGACTCTGGTTTTCAGTTTTCTCACATACTGCATCTCATGTTTGAATGTTGGCAAATTGAATGATATGGATTAGGGAGGTCTTTCAGGCTGACAGTTACAAATGTGTCTGTCAGAAAGAGAAGGCTATTTTGATTTGAAAGTAAGGAATTAGGCCAGTTTAGCTAGCAGCAGTTGGCCATAGGAAGGTTATCGACAAAAAAATGAGATGTACAAATAAATTGTTCATCTTGCATTGAATGAAGAGATTTTACTTCTCAGCTGTGGTGATAAACAAGAGAATTTTCATTTTGTTCTTAGTACTAAAATTGCTTTATCACTGTATACAAGATCTACCCTAAAATTTGTCCCTTAAAGTTTTCCCAGTGAATTAATATTTTTAGAGAACCTTTAGTATTATCTAAATATAAATGTTATTAATAAAGGATAGTCTAGACCCCATAAAACATGAATAGATATATCTAGAATATTGAGGATTTATAAATATTTGTTTTAATAGTAAGTATATTTATAGAACATAAATAGTGGGTCATGTAGATAATATATTTAATTTGTAAAGGATTGTATGAGACCTCTGCAACTGTGTGTGCAAGGCTGTTTTTACCCGCACACAAAGCATGTTTCTCAGCAACCCAAGACAGCAATCACTATATGAACTGAAGCTGAAAATGCAGTTTATTGTCTTCTTTTAAGCAATTTTGCACAATTTCTCAGAATAAAACTATTTGCACAATAAGTAAAGCTGTGAAAGAGAATTGCAAACAGCTATTGAGCTCTGATGAATCACTTCTCAACAAGTCATTGAACAATAATTTTTAGGCTTTCCTAGTAGAAAGCTCATTTTATTGAGGCGGACGAAGACTAAAGAGATGAGCTTTTTCATTATGGTCATGATGTGAGGTGAATTTTACAGGTAAGGCAGTCCTTGCTCAAACAGAATCATCTTTGACTAAGGACAGTGTTATGGACTTCAGCATTGAATCTGTTTTGGTTAGTGTGTGAAGAGTTATATGACAGACCAAATTTTCTAAAATAGCTATATTTACCTCACAGTGGTTCTTGGTAGTTGTAATAATGATATTAATAGAGAAATTTGCTTTGTCTACCTAACATTTTTTGCTCCAGTTGTTAGCCTGAAACGCTGTAATATTAGTATGAGTTGATCGCTTTTGAATTCTTACGCTTGCAAATTAAATTTCAAGCTATAAAGTTGTCAAAGTGATGACTCAGCTTATCTATTTTCTTTTTATAGCTGATCTCTGTAGGAAGCTGCTGTTCATTGAAATTAGGAAACAGATCAGGGAATGGCATGTGTTATCAGCTGAACGTGCAGGATTGTGGCAGCTCAGCTTGGCACCTATGTGCATGTGAAGAGAACTGGTAAGTCAGAAAGGGGAAATAGGTCTGGATCTTGCTTCTGAGCAGGATGTCAAACTCCAGAAGGGCAGAGCTCATTGAAAAGCAGCAGCTGCCACAGAATCCTGGACCAAAGTAATATAAAATGTAATCTTTCACGAAAATAAATATTCCCTGTGGTTTTGATTTTTTTTAATGAAGTTTAAAATTACAAAACAGCTGAAAGCTAAAGCTGAATTCAAACATTTGGAGATCTTCCTGTCAAAAAAACTGCATAGAATGGAGAAATGTTTTAGTTTTTCCAGAATTGCCATATTCTGGTAGGAAATAGCTCTAGTGAAATACCAGTAAATGTATGAATGAGGACATCTGGCTTAAAGTGTAACTTTCTCTGGGCTAATGAAGGGTTGTTATAGCTGAATTTCTCTCTTTCTCAATTGTCTGTGCTGACGAGCTCTCATTAAGGCAACAATCTGTTTGCTTCTGATTCTGAGATTATTTTGCTTCCCCAAACTGATAGTAGCAATGAGGGTAGGATGTTAATTGGAACTCTTATTATTTAATCTCTTTCTGTAATAATTTTCGAGGATGAGACTGGCAAAGGATGTGTTTGATCATTAGTCTTGCATTGGCCTTCTAGTATAATTCAGGGAAGTTTTTGGAAGTAAGCAGTTTTTATTTCCTTCAATTCCTTTGCCCCTGGAGACTTCTAAAGCACCATTTACATGCATTTTGAACAGAGTGAGATTAAATAGCAAGTGATGTATAAATCACATACCTAAACCACTCAGAAGGAAGCTGACATATTTCTCTAAACAAATCTTGAATTGGAAATCAGCCTGGTATCAGGTGATAATGACACTATGAATAGTGAGGGGAAAACTTGGATATCCTAAATGAAGTAGCATTTCATCCGTTAAAGAATATTTTTTCCATTTGATTCTGATATTCTGTAATCAGAAGACCTTGACAAAACTTACATATAAAGTCACTATACAAACTCATTATTTTCTAGCACTTTGCCACGAGGAACCACATATCCCTACCAATACACTTAGTGCTTCGTGTCTTTGCGTTTCCTCAATTTTGGGGATGCCTGCCAGTTGCTGTGTTTTTATCCCTCCTGTTTATCCACTGCCTGACATTTTATATGCAAATTACATCTGTCTGAATGAGTTTTCTGCTGCAGTAGGTCAGTAATGAATAAAACAAGACTAAAAGTGTAGTGTTAGAGCTTTGCTGAGGGCTTTGCTGGCCATGTTGGCAATTATGTAAAGAGTAACATGTACTAGGAAATGAATCTTTAAAGGTCGTTGTGTAGTTCTCACATGGAAACAAGTACTCACCTTTATTAGATCAAAAGTATGAAAATCCCATCCTTGTTTTAAACCAAATCATTATCATTTCTCAGTTTAAAAAATAAAGTTCCCACTCCAACTATCAGACTAATAAATAATTTAAATCTATGTACCTGTTACATATTGGAGCTGCTTTAGCTTTTATCTTTCAGTCTTTACTGACAAGTTCATTCTCAGCTTTCCACATAACTTACAATACAGCATTTTGTTTTGCAGCTTTGCTCAGGTATTACATTGTCACACAGAGAAATATCTTTCAAATAACCTTCTCTCTGATATAACTTCACTTCCCCACTCAATGAAAAAGTTCTGTATCTATAGGATATATCAGGTGTTTTCCACTCAAGGTCTCAGCAAGTTCTGTACACACATGACTGGTAAACAGGAATGTTTCCTCTACTTCAAAGGGAGACACAAGCAGAGGATAAATGTAAACCTGGCACAGGGCTGATTACCACTTTTCAAAAGGCAGATTAAAGCTACCAGCAAGAGGATTATCAATAACAGGAAGGCAGCTGGAAGAAACCAGGGATCCACTTTATCACATGCAGCAGCACATCTATTTTATTAATTTTCCTCAGGCCAACCTCAGCAGGGGGTGCAGTGCCTGAAAACCAGCACTTGATTGGCTACTTGGGGAACATAGCACAGAGGAGTTAATGGATTTTGCATGGCAAACATGTGGAGAATATAAAATTCATTTGTAGCCACCAGAGAAAAATTTTCTCCTCCGGATAAACTCAGACACAAAAATCTGGTCTATCAGCCTTATTCTTGTTTTGTATGCTCTTAAACGAATACTTTTACAAATGGGGATGCCTCATTTACAGCACTTTAATCTCTACTTCAGCTCCTAAATGAACCATTTTATTTGGTATTTTAGATTTTTAAATCTATTTTATTGGAAATTAATTTTCATCTTTGCCACCTGCTGTTTAAGGGCACCTAGTCTCACTATACAGGCAATAAAATGCATTTGGCCCTGCTGTAATGCAGACTGCAGAGCAGAGAGATGTGTAAGGTACATGGTGGAGAAGAAATTTGTCTATATATCCCTGTGTACACAGTGGCCAAAACCCTGGTCTCAGATCTTGCCATATTAATTGCTGATGCTTCTCTTCGATTTGCCTTGCTTGCCTGCATCTCTTTGCTCAGTGTCCTCTTAGGTGATCCTACCCACTTTCTAGCCTCTCCATGGTAGCTGTCATGCTTGTCATAGAGAACTTAAACAACCATTGAAAATTTGACCAGTTCTAAAGAAAGTATTAAAAATAGTGATGGACCTACCTGATCTCTCCAAATACAGCTCCTGCTCTTAGTGTAACCAGGACTTTTGTACCATCAGGGCCTCCAAGGACTTGAACTTCACCCTGTTTGATGATGTACATCTCTCTGCCAATCTCTCCCTGGGCACACAAATACATAAAGAATTCGTGTTTTACCAGTGGTTTTTTTTTGTTAAGATAATCTGACAAACTCTTATTTAAATAATGTTCCACTCTCTCATAAACAGAGGGTTTACCAGTATTATAAGGCAAAGCAGCAATTTTGTTTTAAATGTGAAAAGGCAGCAGCAACAAAGCCAGGACTGAAAATGTAGTGTACTCCTTCACTTGTTCCTCCAAGCCTGCATGCAGCACCTCCTCAGAAAAGTAGGGTGAGGCCAGCATACATCCAATGGGCAAGTGGTTCCAGCTGGGTTTTGTTCACTACTACCTGTTACATCATCAAGAGAATTACTATGGTTCTTGGTCACATAGCAGATGTGTACAAGTGAGAGGCCTTTTGGCTCTAAATCAAGCTGCAATAAATTGGTACTTCAATTTCTCTTAATCCATTCTTGTTAAGAACTAATGTTTGCATCTGACTGCAGTATCAAAACATTGGATCTGTAGCAAAACACTGGATCTGTTTCTCTCCTATATCTTCTCTTGCATCAGAGTCCCAGCTGCAGTCTAAGATCCTTTCATGCTGTGCATTGTATAAGCATACACACCAAACTACTCTCCTACCCTTCCTAGCCAACAGCAAATCTGAGATTGGTCTTTGAAGGGACACACTTAATGCTTCCATGTATTCATGAAAGTTTAACTTCCTACACTGTGGAGTCAGTGCAACTAGCTCAGCATTTAGGAGGATTGTATGCTTAACTCTTGGAGGGAGAAGGACCTTAGTGAACATGCTGGACCAGGACTGCTAAAGACAAGTTAAAGGGCTCTGATGGTCAGTTCTGGATGTGCTGTGAACTGTGGGTCACTTGCCAGAACAGTAACAGTACTGATGCTTTGTCCCCCTAATGTTTTAATTGCGCCCTACACTGCCTATGAGTATGTTTACATGCCTGAAAAGAGACTTGTGCTCTCTTGTTCAGAAGCTGAGCTATCTACCTGTGAGCCATCTATCTGGCCATGTTGAGCCAAAATGCTAAGAGAAGACAGACATCTTTGCTTAGGGACAGTGTGACAGTATTCAGCTGGAGGTCTGGAGATGGCTCAGAGCTGTGAGTGAACATCGAGCAGATCCTGCTGTAAGAAGTGGTATGGGATGCAGTTTGTTTTCTACGTTCTTGGATAATTCTGTTTAAGAGTTTCTGAACACACAAATGAAACAGGCAAAGCATCATAGAGTGAGATCTTTAGGCTAGATTTGTACCTGTATATGTATAAAAACTTTAAGTTTCTCCATTTTGAATACTAAAATGTCATGATGCACCATTAGATAAGCAATATTTACATTAAATACTTTCCTGTATTACTATAATGTCATGTTTGATAATGTAAGTAACAAAATCCATATTGTCCTGTTCTAGGTTGAAATTTGAGAGCTCATTTGTTGTTATTCCACAGAGTACCTTAATTACTTTTATGCTGTCTAATTCAGTCAGGATTAATTTTATTTAAAGGACATTGTTGACTGATATCTGAACTCTTTTTCTAAAATGCATACTATAATTATTATTTGAACAAGACAAGAATGCTCACCTTTTTGCAGACAAAATCACCAGGTAAATACACAATGGATTTCAACCTTAGCAGCATGTCATATATCATCTGGGTATCACACCCCTGTTAAAATAGATAGAATTGATTACTCTGTCAATTCAGTAGTAAAAGTGACAATTAGTGTTCACACTGGCATCAAAACCCAAAAATACAGTAATGACCCAGGGATTCACAAGTGGAATGCAAACTCAAAACATCATAAAGATCAGCTATTAGAGCTGAGAAAAGACTGAGAGAGTTCTTATTTCAAATATTTATAAAGCTCTCTATGGTTAAACATCTTTTCATTTTTTTACAAAATGAGCTTCTGTACATCCAAATTTGCTGTGGAAGCTCAATTAGTGCTACATTCAGAGCTTTATGGATCTTTTGGGGGTGGTGGGTTTTTTTTAACTGATCCAGGGACAGAGAATAGATCATGTCAAATGTTGATATGAATCTATGAATTCAGTGTCTTCAGCAAGTGTGGGTAAACTGTACAGCTGTATAATATTTATACAGATATAATGTGATTTTTTGCAAATGTCCTGACAAGCAAATTTGCTGTATGTCAAGACTACTACTAAAAATGTAGGGTCTCCTTGGTTCTGTCTCAGGACTCCAATTCTGATTCAATCCACTTAAACTCTATTTCTGGAAAACTACCATGATAAGTAAAAAGAAAGCTCCTTTGCCCAAAAACTTGATAAAATGCAGCATTCACTGCATCAAAGCTACACTGACAGAACACATAGCATGGGTGATCTTTCAGACAGACCTGGGCAGCATACAGCAAGGGGGACTGTGTTAAAAATTAGATTATTCTATGTCTGACTCTTGAGATTGGTTATACTCTGAACTCACAGTCTGACCATACCATCAGCTTTAGTATGTCATCATAACAGGACTATGTCTTTATCTCATTTGCTTTTGAAAAATATCTCTGCCTTGACACAAGAAAAATCAAGTGCAGGCACTTGACTTTGTTCTGACGTGTCTCCATTATCTACGCCATTTCTTAGACTTATTTTGCCTTTTGCATTAACAAACATGTTCTTAAGTGTTGCAAGATGCACAAAACAAGGTTTCTCCTCTCAGGAATGCTGCATTCTGCATTCTCCCATAAAGCTACTTGCTTTGAATAAGTCGACTTTATTGACAATGGCAAAGTTCACATCAATTGCGACGGCTAATTGCATTTTGGTTGGCATCTGCTCCAGTAATTCTGATTCATCTGTAAAACAATTTTTAAAAAAAGGAACAAAAGAAAGAATGAAAGAATGTCCATAAAAATGAGCATTGCACAAAAAAATAACTTATCAGAGCTATTCTAATGTTTAGGAGTTCAAATAAGGAAGCTGCTATTATGCTTTTACTAAGATGTTTAATTGACATAACTTGTGTGTACAGAACAAAATAGTAATGAATAAAATTTGTGAAGTAGTAAATGTCATGTTGTTTCGGAGGGTTTTTTTCTTTTCCAAAGTAAGTTGAGTAGCCTCCTTTCGCTTCCCACATTCAATTTGGAAAAGGAGAAATGTGAATTTCACCCTATATCTCTATCTATACTACTCTCACTTGGTCATGCTAAGTAACTGGAATTGGAGATCCTTACCCAGCATTCCCTGGGAGTCCCATGTATATTCATACCAAAGTCGAACACGATTTTGGACCGATTTTGGAATAGAATTAGTGTTCATGTAAGAGACAGTGTTGTCCACACAGGAACGGTAGTAGTTCTGTCCTGCTGTAGCTGCTCCAATTACATCTCTCATCTGCAAACATCAGTTGTTGTTATTACACATTTCAGAAAAAATAGTCTTGCTTTTAATATCTTGTCAACAACATACAAAAATAATAAAGCACTTGTCTGTGAAATCATTGGATAATTATATGTTCAGCTGCATGTTTTGAGTAGGTGCTTCATCTGCTTTTTGAGAAGCGTTACAGATTTAATCTGATTGTGTTGGAAAGAATATAATTATGATTTTTAGAGGAATCATTTTTGGGTTTTACCTTATTCTTCTCTCTCACATTTCTGCACATGATGAAAATGATACATAATGCTTTTCTTAAAAATCCATAATAAAGCTACTCCGCATTTAGCATGCAATGCAGGTCAGAAGGGAAGCAAACTAGGCTGAATTTTTCTAATAACATCATCTAAAACCACTAGAACTAAGATCATGTCACAGCTTAAATAGTTAAGAGATACATCCTTAGCACTGTGAGCTGAAAGGTGAACTGAAAGCTTTTAGTGCAGGAACATCATTTAATATTCCAACACAATAGTAGTTCATTTTTTAGCAAGCGGATGAGTTAATGTTCATCGATATTCCTTCTTCAAAAGCAGAACTATTCAGATGTGTTGTGTGAAATGGCATCACATGGCAGTTGCCAAGGATTAGTGTGCCATGGGCTGTTTTGCTCTTTATTACAGAGATGAAATTGATTGCAATAGGAATAACAATTTTTAGGCATGTGTGCTAAACCAGGAATAACTCAGTAATTTTAAGAGCTCTTTGTAAACAAGAGTTATAACAAACTGCAATGAAGCAGTTTGTATGTTAAGATTAAAGGTTTGAGTCTGCAAAGGACTACACTGGTTCCAAAACCTAGTTGGCAGAATCTTCTTGAGGAATGAGGCTTTCATTGACAGTTACAACAATTTAGGAAAAAATATAAATATGCAGACTCTGAAGTTTAATCCAATATACTTGAATTCAATAATTTTCCAGAAGAAATATTTTATATGAACTGCTTTATTTTATTTTGGCTAATTTCTTTTTGTGGATGAATTTTAAATCCTATAGTCAAGAGTCTGTTTCTTGATGGTTATCTTTTCATGTGCTTTTAAAAAGCAAGAGGCATGTACAATTTTTAAGTGTTTGAACTTTCTAAATGCTGTATTCAAAATAAAATTAAATGTAAATTTTAATTTTTTCCCCCCAATAATACTTCTTTCAATAACATGCATGTACAAATCAAAATGTCTGGAATGATTTCTACAGGAATCCAATAAGACATAGTGTCACATAGGGACCACAGCATTTACTTTTCTATAGGCAAGGTATTTTAAAACCTATGGATCTAAAGCTCAAGTTTAATAGTTGCAAGTGAGAAATATTTAATATATATTCTTTTGGAAATATAATGGATTTACTGTGCTATGGACATTTTTCACCGTCCTGCCAAATGAGAGCCAAAAGAAACAGAAACCAGTTAATTTTCAGGTTAACAAATATATTGTAATTTGTAGAAAAGACCAGAATTGTAGTTTGACAAAAATCATGGTGTTTCCATTAGCAGTATGCTATTGGCAGTATTCCTGACCATGACTTATTCAATAATTTGTACATATTAGTATCATACCTACAATTATAATTTTTATATCAGATTTAACAGTATAATGTGAATGTCAAGGAACTGTCTCCTTGACTGTGATGAAGAAAAAAAGGAATTATACATAGTTTCAAGAATCATCTGTCTTGCAGAGTCTTGGCTTTAAATCAGCTTGTGTGCAAAAGAGCTGCAAAACTGGGAACTGAGTACACACGTACTTGTCAGAAGTATGAGTAACATTAAATTAGAGCGACATTCAGGTGGAAGTTAAACCTTTTCCCAGGACTAAAATCCATTAAACAATATTTTATCATTACATTACAGTAATTTCAATGTAACTTGTTACTGATTTTTTTTTTTAATGTACCTGACCAATTAAGCTGGAGAAGACAAAGACACCCATGAAATAGTTCAGCAGCTGAAAAACTATCTCAAACAGAGTTTGTGGTTCTGGAAGGCCACCAATGGTGATTAAACTACGTACTGCCCAGTAGTAACACCTCAGATACCTGTGGATACAGACAGCATTTTTGTTAGTAACTGTTGGTACTTATATGGCTGAAGTTAAGCATCTATTCACCTGAGTTGGGCCTTTCAAGGATTCTTTTCCATCCTAAAGTCCTTCAGCATTTTTGTAAAGGGTTATGAATTTATCAATGATACAGTTACATAAATCATGTTGAGCTGAATGTTCTCACTGACAGCAAAATAAGAATTTATGGGAAATGCAGCCGTTACTTACTGTTCTCTAGTAACCCTATGCAGTGTCACAGAACACTTGTGTGAAAAATCACTAAGGTGGACATTACACTGTTAGAATGCTACCAGTGAAGAAGTCATGCTTAAGCAGTGTAAAAGTGTCAGAGACTTCCCAGTCTGTCTGTGGCAGCATACTTGATGCACAGACATCTGAACATCTCTTTCATGGTTTCACTTGATGGCAAATGACAAATGCAGTGCCATTATTCTTGTGTCCATTCCTACTCCTTTAACCATGCTGGTCTTGGTTGCACTCTGCTTCTGAGCACCCTTCATTGGCTCTACATCCTGGGTTATATCAAACTGAAGTTGAATGTTTCCACAAGTTGTGTGTCAATCCAGCTTCTCCAAACCACTTCACTTATTCAGCACTGAAAGGCTGACTCCTGTATTAACATCTCCTAGTTGCTGGTCTCCACTACTCCTTCTGTCACCTTGACAAGCACTTTCTTGCCTTCTTCACAACTTTCCCTCTTGCCTAAGGAGACCTGTCTATTAATGGCTACACAAGTACTTTGTTAGCACCCTTCAAGACTTTTATCAGAATTCTCTTGATCTAGGAACCAAATAAATACAGCAGTGAGTAGTGGTCAGTCACTAAGATTCTGCTTAAGTGTATGGCTTATATTGACTCCCTCACAGCATCTATCTGCTGTTTGTGACTTCTCATACCTGAAGTGTGAGCTCTGGAACAAAGTTCTTTTGTTTGGTTTGTACAGCAGCCTTGTGTGTGACAAAGCCTGTTGCATTCAAGCTGTGTATTTCTATTGCACAGAATCACAGAATCACAGAATAATTGGAGGTGGAAGGGACTCACAAGGATCATCTAGTCTAACTCCTGGCCCTGCACAGGACATCCCCAATAATCACACCATGTTATTTGGACACCTCTTGAGACCTGCCAGGCTTGGTGCTGTGACAGCTTCCCTGGGGAGCTGTTCCAGTGACCAACCACTCTCTTTGATGAGGATAGACGTACGAACTCTTTTTTAAAATATATGACTCTCTCTCTATATATAAAGGGCCTTGGCATCTCTAAGATCCTGCTTTAAATTTCATTCTAGAACATGGCTTCACAAGTAATGCAGCATTCCCCATACTGTGCAGTGGGGACTAAGTAGTTCAAATCATTGTTGTATGTTATAATTTCCTTCTTTTCTGAGCAAACAAGTAATTGGTTTAGGTATATTTTTAAAAGCCCCCAACTAATTAGGATTTGACTTTCTACATCTCTGTACAATGAGACTTCAGCTTCCCTGATGATTAAGAGTGGAAGATCATTTTCCTTAATTGTACAGTGCGATTTTTCTATTATTTCAGCTGTGACTATTGCTCTTGAAGCAATGATGTTTACTTCTATTTGTTGAATTTTATTCAGCTTGAAAAAGAACCCCAAACAAAAGTTACCCCAAACACTGAAACACAGAAGAAATACTTTTGGAGATGTTTGTTTTGAAATGGACAGGCTTGCATACATCTTCTTACGCCTTTCCTGAATCTGAGGCCACACGATCTGCTTGCAGACCTCAGGTGTACACTTTATTTAGTGGCCTCCACTATTATTAAAATATGAACTGTTCCTATTAATAAGTGGTTCATGTAAAAATACAGTTATAGGGTCAGTTTTGTGCAAATATGATAAAATAAACTCACAATATAAGCAATTTCAATGAGAGTTTTTATTTAAATCATTCAAAAGTGTTTCCAAGTTTTTCACCTAAAATGTCAGGCTCTATCAAGCAAATGATTTTTGCTTTTCATTATAAACTCGCTTCTTCCTTGGTTGCAGATTGTTGAAATACAGTAACAATGATCACTTTTACCATAGTTTTCTAGTTTTAGATATTAACAGCCAAAACTGACCATTTCCATTCAGAGCCCTTAAGTAAAAAAATTTGTTGCATATTTGCCATAGTATCATTTTTCCTTGATTACAGGTCCAAAATGAACTACTGGATTACACCACTATGATATTTTTACTTGGATTAAAAAAACCCCAAAACATCACATATGCATGTTTCCACAAAGTTTGTATAAATGGCAGCAAAACCTTCTGTAGCATAAACACATAGTAAGAAAAAGCCTTAGATCTGTTTTGGAAAAATTACAGATTTAAGCATAAAATGATGTCTCTAACTTGGCTGAGGGGAATTTGATATAAAGCATATTAATCTCATATTCATTTGCCATACATGAGAATGCTGTAGTGCTTGAACCATGTACAATTTAGTGACATAAAATTAAAGAAATTAACACTACTTCTGTCCTAGCTACTATAGGAAACAAAAATAATTAAGCCACTCTCTCACCCACAATGGCCCTGCATGACAATCTTGCTAACACTACCACGACAGACCAAATCTTCATTCTGGGAAATGTCTACAAAGCTCCTCAGAGGAGTTTAGGGGCCACATTCTTCTCTGCAGTGTTGTATATCCAAAATCTGAGAGATTTTTTTGATATCTGCCTAGCCCTTTCTGAAGATGTAGTTAATACACTATATTCTTCTGTAATTTTACTTCAAAAGAAACTTTGTTCTGGCAAAGTCACATGATATTCACTATCTCTTAGGCACAGGTTTTCCCCATTTTTGTTTTTATTTTAATCTGAAATGAAAGTTACACAGTTGAAATACAGAGCAGCTTTTTTTCTTCCCTAAGAAGGAGGGAAATGCGATTGTAAATTCTGTTTAAGGACAGCCAGAAAAAACAGATTTCTATTTCAACAGTATTAGCAGCTCTGCTTCCTACTAGCTTGTGTCTGGAAACCATCACTGATCACCATATAGCTTACTTGCCTGCTATAAAATTACTGTTGCAAACAACAGGAGACAAGAAAGGGGTTTTTCCCTCTGCACATCATGGAGAGTATGTTTATCCTTCAGGCAATCAAACTACTAGATTTTCTCCTAAAGTAAGTGTCCTAGGTATGAGACATTCAGAAACACTGCAAATAAGATACCTTGTCATAGTACGCCAATAGAAACATCTTTTTCATAAAGGTCCATTCCAGAATACTCTAAACTCCTTACATGGCTTTGGTTAATGCAGGTAAATCAAGTCTCTGTGCATGTAGCTCTCAGATTTAAAGGTGGCATTCACACATTCATTTCAGCCCAGGGAATCATTATTTCAGGGTTATCGTGTTTGACTGCTCTCATATTACAACCAGAAGGCATTTAGGAAGAATAAAGCCGCAGCCACTCAGGTGACCTTCTTCTTGGTACCTCTTTTTCTAGAGTGGTGTGTTCATCGGGTGACTGAGTATGAGCATCTCAGGCAGAAAGGAGTGAACTACAAAGCTGTTGCCTAAAATGTATGGCTGCAGGTAGCAGGTCTGAAAGCATTAGTCTGACATACTTATGAGTTGGGCTGTGTATTCACAGCTTGCCTGGAGGCACAAAACTGCCTCTGTATAGCAAGTGCTGAGAGTATGACACATCAAACCTATTGCAAGTGCTATGTACAGCTAATTCTCAGGAGACACCTTTTAAGATTTGCCAGACTTAGTACACATGAGGCAAGGCATACTAAAGAAGTAGAATTGTTCTAGGCACGTACAGTGACCATTTTCTGGGACTTATAGATACCCACTAAGTCTGTGCCCAGAGTAGGAAGGCAGTAAGCTACAAAAAAACATAATTGGGATGCAAATAGATGTCTTGATTAATAAATATGCCAAAGAATTTTGCAGACTCCTTGTGGATGGCTTGCAAACAGCAGAAGAAATATACCATGAGGAAACTGAAATGATTTGTTTTGCCTGAATTTAATGTCAACCTGGAGGGTTTGCACGAGAATTTCAGCTCCCTAGTTTTAGTTTCCCTATGGACAATGATGAAAGAGAGATACTTCCTTGGGACAATTCAGAACAATGACATTATATTTCCACTTTAAATCCCTTTCTAGAGGATTTGTCCATTTTCCTCAGGAATTAGGGAGATTGATTGCTTACTTAGGTAGTTAAATTAGATTGTAAATAAACACATATAGACCTTTTCAAAATCCTGCTACCATGCTTACATAGACTTTACACTGTGGTGTTGCATTAGTGATGGTCTGTTTCTGTCTACATTAAGAGAGACTGAGGTCTGTCTGCCTAACTTATACCAAGCTCATGAGTGCACTTTTAATGCTGAAAACATCTTGTGTGGCTAATGTGAGTGCATTGCAGGGAGGTAAAATTGACTGCCTTTTGCACCTCAGGTCAAAGGTTTTGACTGAAGGCTGCTAGGCAAAATGGTTCAAATCTTCTCAGACTGACACTTCCACTTTCGAGTCTGGACAAGAACTGGAAAAGCAAAGAGCTAGCAGAGATTTGCAAAAGAGCTACTTGGATAAGTTTTCTTGTGGTGTGTAGCTGTTAGCTATAAACTGAAGTTCTCTGGTTAGTATTCCTGCTCAGGAACTTATATGTATTCAAACTGATAATGGAAACTATTGTCTGTTTACTCTTTTTAGCATGGAAAATAAAAAAACCCCATATCCTAGAAGTGTTGACATTTTTTAGAACTGGTTTTGGCTATAACTAGCAATATTTCATGGACACAGTAGGGTTTCTACCTAAAACATTAATACCACTAAATCAGTGCCAGGCAATTTGCTTTGTGTCAGTGTAATGTGAGACCATGAAAATTTTGATTTATTTGTCAAACTGCTTACTGTCTTTTTTTTTTTTTTTAAATTAGCTAAGTAGCTATGTTTGCATAATCTTATTTCTAAATGTGTTCCAATGCTTTGTGAGACTAATGGTATATTTTGCTTCAAATATTGTCAAACCTGAATGTTATGTGAGAGGAAATTACATGTGCACTGCTGTGCCATAATATATGCTGCAGTACTGGTCACTCTTCCTGACAGGTTTTTTCCATATTGTTCATAATTCCTGCTTTCCAAATAAATGAATGTACCTAGAAGTATGTTGTCTGACATGTTTAAAGTCATATTGTATCTCCAATTATAAATAATATTCACACGATGTATCTCTGTCAAAAAAACCCAAATATTTGACAATCAGGTAATATGTCATGCCTGATTCTCTAAGGTGATGACTATCCCATACGGAAGGAATTTGCTGTTAGTGGGATACAAAGCTATACTTTATGAAATGCAACTCAACATCGAATACTCTTTGGGATTCCAAAAGTTAGATACAGGCAGAAGAATAAAGTCATTAATGGATTATTGTGGTTTACATGGATATATCATGGAATCATAGAATCATTGAAATGTTTGGGTTGAAAGGGACCTTAAAGATCATCTAGTTCCAAACCCCCTTTCATTGGCAGGGACACCCACTAGACCAGGTTTTACTCAGAGCCCCATCCAACATGGCGTTGAACACTTCCAGGGATGGGGACTACACAGCCTCTCTAGGAAGCCTGTTCCGGTGCCTCACCACCCTTATGGTAAAGAATTTATTCATAATATTTAATCTAAACTTACCCTTTCAGTTTAAAACCATTCCCCCTTGTCCTATCACTGCATGACCTTGTAAGGTCCCTCTGCAGCCCTCCTGTAAGTCCTCTTTTAGGTACTATAAGACTCTTCTCTTCTCTAGGCTGAACAGCCCCAACTTTCCCAGCCTGTCTTCATAGCAGAGGTGCTTCAGCCCTGTGATCAGCTTAGTGACTCTCCTCTGCACTTATTCCAAGAGTCCTTCTTGTGTTTGGATATTTATTTCAGCATCTCATCTTAATGCAGATCTTGAATTATCAGTTTATTATTATTATTTTTTATTAAAAAATTCTGCCCTAAATTCCGTGTAATTTCAATGTGACTTTGTTTGAGAAATATTTTTGTCTCCTCATGGAAGAGGTAACACAAAATATTAAAATACCTGGCCATTGCCTCTGGTCGCAACTGGTGTGTGATCAAGCAAGCAATTTCTACCAATTGTTTCCCTGAGAGAAATGTAAAACACTTTTGTCTGTAAAAAACCAGGAAGACTTTCTTACCTGTCCTCTAGACTGTTCTGAAGAAGCATTAAAAATCATGAAGATTAAGTACACTCTCTGCTTTCAGAGTTTTCAGGTTTCTCAGTCTTACCTAATTTTGTAATTATTAGGAGAGTATTCCCAAGAATAACATTAACAACAAAATAGCTATAAGGGAAATTAGTTCTGCATTTTTCTCCTCAGATTTCTGGAAGTCTTGATCCTGCAAATAAATACCCATCTATAACTTTACTTACATAAGTGGTCCCACTAAGCTCCATGACCCTGCTTGCACATGTCTTACTGCAGTTCTCAAGCTGTGTATTTTAACAGTGTGTGTAAATTTCAGATATGCCAATTTTTTTCAAGAGATAACCTTAACCATGAAAAACCAATGCTGCTTTACACAACGTGTGTTTTGTTCTCAAAGGCTCTTTTCGTATCCTTCAAGATATTGAGTTCACACCAAACTCATGAAATCTGAAAAAGCTACAAACAAGAGGAGCACACCAAGAAAAAGGTGAAAGGTTGTTTGAAAGGGATTTATGACAGCAGTAGTGTATTATATGCATTTTGCCAAGAATGTAATTAATGAACAAATTAAGCTCCTGTGGCTTTAACTATATTATGGCCTTTGAGAGAAAAGAATGTTCATACAACTGAACCTACTAGATATGTTTTTATAAAACTACACACAGAATAGATTATGACTTTGCTATTTTCTCTTGCTTCCTGTCCATCATCTTAATAAATATTCCTAACTTGACTCCCAACCTAGTACTGTCACAAGGAGTTTGTGGAAAATTGTGCCAATATCCAGTCTGTCCCATGGGAGATGCTCTGCCACATATTTAAGCATGACCTTCTCAAAAGATCAGAGAAAGTTGGTGGAATCTTTTCAGACCAATCACCATGGTGTAGAGGTACTTAAATGTTGCATTTTAATGACACAATACCGTGTGGCAGGAAAATACCAAACTCAAACTAGTCCTCTGTTTCCTTTCAGACGTTGCTATATAATCCTTCTAACAGTTTCCATCTGCATATGTGCTCAGTAAATTTAATTTATGACCTTTGTTCCTTTCTAAATGTTTAATTAAGTTAGTGCTAAGCACTGACTCATAAACCTATAAAACCTGAAAGTGGTAAACTGATTATTCCCTGCACCTGCCCTCCAAATATGTGAGTAATGAAAGCTGCTAATCAGCAGGCATAGTGCTAAAGGTTTGCTGTCCAAGCACTTGTAAAGTAAAGGCATATCCTGTGAGCCAAGACATGGGAAAAGGAGGGAGAGGCAGGAAGGAGCAAAATCAACAAAAATCTCTTGCAAGAGAAAAGGACTTACATGTTTCCTTCGCCATCGTACACCCATCTAGTGCTGCCAATGCCTTCATAGTCTGAAGCCCAATAATACAAACATGCATTAATGTGCAAGAGAAACAGCAAGTATCCAGTTGTTCGAATGACCCTGTAAAAGTCAACAGATTCCTGTAAAACAACTTAAAATTTTCCTTCCTTTTAATGTAGAACCCATTGGTTTTTTGGATCAACAATGTTTATGTTAGACATCCACTAAGTAGTTCCCCACCTGCATTGATTCTATAAAAAAGTAGCTGGCAGTTACCCATCTCTCACGTTTGTCCAAGGTCAAATAAATATCTTTACTATAATATTTGACACGGGCTAATTTTTAAATTATGGTTCCCTGGGGAGTTTATAACCCACTACTTTTAATGGCTATGAATATTTACAGAAATTTGAAGCTATATTAATGAGGCTAAAGGGTACAAATTAATGCATTTGCCAAACTCTGTTCAAGATAGGCTTTAAACTTGTGAACCAAAGCCAAGAAATGTCTGAGGTCAGAAATGAACTGCTTTACAAGAGCTGTGCTAGGAAATCTGCAGTAGATCCTCTAAATAGCATGATTTAGTGACCACGGCAGGAGTTATTCCTAATCCCAGTTCTTATAGCCAGTTCTTTAAAAGACTACAAATGATGAACTACTTAAGCACCATGCAGCTTTCTGTTTAATACAATAATGATCTCATTGTATATCCTCTGTTCAGTTCATAGGGATCAAAAGAAACATCTTCCGGATTTAGCTTTCCATTCAAATATTCATACAAGCAAAGCATAAATAAGCAGGAAAAAGTACAGGACTTGCCTAAATACAGGGAAGTTGGTTGATAATGAGTTTATCTGCTACAGCTAGAATTTAGTGCGGTATGCATGGCATAATAACTATGTGGTTTTGTGAAAATTTAATAAGATCTAACTAAGTTGGGTCTGTGGTTGCTTCTGTATTAGGTACTCATTTGCCCTCCTCGGGCATGCAATGGTGGCTGAAGAACTCTGCATGACATTGAACAATCTACCTATGTGTATTCTTCGCCTTTATGATGCTGACAAATGAATGCCACTTCTCTGTTTGAAAGTTGGTGTGCTTTCAGAACAGCTCTGTTTAGCATTGCAAGCCATTGAGGACATCAGATAGCTGTTAAAATTAGTAATCTTGCACTATTGACCATACTAGGTCTTGTGCACAAGTTTGAATCCATGCAAGTGGACTCCTGAGATCTGAGTGAAGATTCAGGAAGCCATTGCTACAATATATGTTATATTTCTTGAGACACATGTTGAATCTATTACAATGGGTAGATAAGATGTAGGAAACTTTTCTAACTCTATTCCTACTAACTCAAACTAATGAGTCTGAGAAGGGAATCCACCCAGGTACATACACTTGCTGTGTAGAAGTTTTGTTTGATATTATCCAGTTAATTAATGCCTTATTGCTCAAATTGTGACTATATTAGGATCTCAGACCAAAGCAACGTTGCTACATTGAAATAAAATGCAGTAGTTTTCACAAAAAGCGTGTCTTTTTTTAGACTTTTTAGCTCTCACTTGTAGTCTTCTTCTGTATAACTACCTTTGTTTGCTATTTGTCAGTGAACACCTCGAAAACTGGAAGTCAGTGTTTTCTGAAGTAGGAGGTAGAATATAGATTAACTTTGTAACATTTAGATTCTGTAATTTACATTCTGGAAGTGATTTAATATTGAAAAATCTAAGTAGACCTGTGACCAGGAAGTAAAGACATAAGCAGCAACACACAGTTGTGGCACTCAGCCAATATCATGCTAAAAAACTGTGTAACAAGGCAGAAGAGCTTTACTGAGTAGCTGGTTCTGTCTTTCCAGCTACTGCGTATGTTTTACAGGACCAGTGAGATCTTGCTCTATGTGTCCTCTCTGGAACTAATTAAAGAATTTAAAAAAAAAGAAGAAATAAAAAGTAATCCAACCCAAAAAAAAAAAGAGTCTTCAATAAGTGTAAAGAAAGGGCATTATACGAACAACCTTCTGGAGGACAACATCATTAAAGTACTTTATTAGAACTTTCAAAATTCTGAGTTTTGCTTTACTTCACAGGTATGTGAAAATATGAAAGAGATGATGTTTCAATCTCCTTTTCAAATTTAACTAGTTTCTAAATCTCATAAAATATTTCATTTGAATGTATAATTATCAAGTGTACCATTTAAGTGCAATAATCTCTGAAATAGAGTAAGAAGGTAAACAACAGATTCTTATTTCTGTGGCAGCACCACACAGGAGTAATGCATGCCCCAAAACTGAGACAGGGAAGAGAATCTGTTGCTGTAGGAATTGCACAAGATAAACTGGGGCTGATGACATTGACAGCAGATGACAATAATAGTGGCACAGTAGATGAGTTCAATGAGTGTTAGCAGCACCACTGACAGCTGAGGGGCCGACAAAAGTTGCTATCACTATGTCCATGGAATGCTTGAGTTGGATCCAAAATTCTTCCTGTCAGTGCAGAAGGTGAGAACAGCTCAGCAGACAACAGTTATAATCACTATTTCAGAACTCTGCTGAATTGATTCTCATTCCAAGTTTAGTCAATGCAGTGAAGGATCAAGTTTCTGTATGTGCCAGGTTCATGGTGAGAGCATGTTTGAAGAAAAATGTTGACACAGGCTCAAGCTCATAAATCTTGTTAAGTAGAAATAAACAGTTATTGAGGATTTGGCACTGCTATTAGTAGCTTAAAGAAACTGTTCTTTAGCTCTTTCACTAAAGCAACTTCTTTCTGATACTTCTGGTCAGTTTAATTTTGGCAGAAGCCTCAGTTTGGTGTACATTTTGTCTGAACCAGGCCAGCTGAACAGAGCTAGAATTCATATGTGAGTGAAGCCTTACATATATTAATGATTACAATAAAGACAGATACTTTAAAAAATCTTAAATTGAACAGTTAAAGATGTATCATATTCCATCTGGCACTTAACTGACAGTGCATGAAATCAAATGGAATGCATTCTGTGCCAAGCTTTGCATGCTACTTTAGTTTTATAAGCACATACCTGTAGATGTATGCTTTTTCCATAACAGCTTCCAAACGATCGTTAAACTCAAAGAATGTGTTATGCTGCATAGAAAACAAATGAAAGTAATCCAATCACTATTCTTCACCACACATCTTTTAATAATAGCACTGACATTAATTCACATGCACCTTTTGAAAATAATGGATTTTTCAGTTATCAAGCTTCCTTTAAGTATTTAACTAAAATGTGAACTGTAAAGCAAAGATAAAAATTGAGTTAAATGGCTTTTTGAGTGCTGAGTGTCCCATCAAGCTGATTACAGAAATAACCTTGCTGTTTTGGTCAGACTGCTGCAGATGAATGACTTCTACTTCCTCAAACATACATAATTGCTTGGGCAGCTTTGTCACAGAGATAGGTAAGTTCTTGCATAAATCCATTTTTTTCTCTTTCTGAAATTTGGTAATTCTCCAGTAAGAAATCATATGTATCAACAACCACAATCTAGATGATACCATGTCCTATCAACTACAGCTGTATTGAATTTTCCTTAAGTACTTGTAGTTGAACTTTAGTGATAGACTTAAAATATCACATGTAGGTTTTTTGTTTACTTGGTTTTGTTCAATACACATCCATTGGCCTAATATGAGGCACTATATAACTATTCATTCTGTCATATTATTTTGGTTCTGATTTATGGAATTTTGAAGTTTTGTTGAAAACCAAAGTGAACAGCACTCATTCTCAGAGTTCTTGTGTCTTCCTCCAACTTTAAATGAAAGACAAATCTTTGTCAACATATTGATTACATGAAGGGCAATGTATTAAGCTGCAGAGTGGCTGCTAGGTAATAACCCAACTAGGGTTGTCTAATCTCTTCTCAGACACTTCATTGCACAACTCCAGATGTCATTCGACTTGACAACAAAAGTGGGTTTATGCTTGTTAATATTCTTTGAATAATTTATGTTTCTCTTATATTTCCCTTTTTTTTTGCTTTCAAACACCTGACATAAGCAACAGAAGGGGAAAATACATTGACATTAATTCGTGATTTAATTTTTTTATCTTTGAAAGCTAAACAGGTATTTTAAGATTAATCTAATTTAAATAATGGAAACAAAACAGTTTTCATCACAAAATACCTTTTGAAAGCAGTAAATAATAATCAGAAGCAAAATAAGAGAGTAAGAGCTTAATTTGGCTAAACTTGTATTTTTTGTTGGTTCATTTACTGATGCTGTACCTTAGCCTAAAGATACTTTCCAATTTCTAAATTTCATATTCCTAAATATTCTAAAAATCTTTCCATTGGGTTGTAAAAATATTTATGTCTGGTTAGCTATCCATCACTAACAGATATCTTACCTTTACCATCTTGTTTGCTCTAAATGCTGGATTAAATCCAAAGAAGAAGTATAAAATTTCAGGTGGCAATACTGATATCAGATCAAACTGTTGAAGAGTAGAGAAGTCAATTTAAACTTCATAGTAATCATAGCACATATATTTGCTGTCAAAAACCTGCTTAGATTGAATCATGACTGAATGTAATATTTGAAGAATCAGCATGCTAAACATGTAGCTTCCCAAGTACTGGCAGGCAAGATTATCTCTTTGAAAACACCAACTGCTTTGTCCTGCTTTTAAGATCCCTGTACCTGATATTTTAATCTATTGCAAGGGGGTTATTAACAGTATCTCAGATATTTGATTATTAATACATTCTCTTATTTCAATTGTAGTTCTGACAAGACTGAAATGTTAAGCATGTGGCTGGTGAGTGGAGGTGGGGAAACCACTCCACAAGCACTTCTTAAAAGTCCTTCAGCTTTTAAAACCAGGATGCCTAAAGAAATCTGGGGAAGCACAATAAACAAGATTCCTTGATTGCAACCTGCAGATGTCATGTGTTCCAAACAACAGATTCGCCATAGGGTGATAATCTTGTTTGGTTGGTTGGTTAGCTGCTTATCAATAGATTTTTTTTCTTCTGTTTTATTTGGATACTACTTCTTCCCATATCACTAAGGTTTTCAACATACCCCTGCTATCCATCAACTATGTGATTGCTCTTCTTATCTGCATACTTTATTCTTTCCAAGAATTCTGCAGAGAGAGGGAAAGCTGTGGCAAATTTATATTTGCCTTTTTGAAGATCCTGTGATGCCTTGCTCTGTTGCTCCTATCATTTGGGAATAAGAGAGGGCTGTGGAACTGTAGGCTTCATTGCACTGTAATCAGAAATGTTTTTGCTCCGATGGGTGCAAGTTGTATGGCAGCAACCAGCCTGCAGCTCTGACCCTTTATTCCATGCTAGTAAGAAGCAATTAATACCTGAACTCTGAAAAAAGCAAGGCAAAGAAAAAAATCAATTGAGAACAAACAGCCTTTTATGGTCTCTCTCTTCCTCTCTCAGACGCATTTCTAAGAGGAGACAAAATATAGTCAAGAGTGTTTAAATATAAGCAACTGTTAATTAGTAATTAATCATATGACATATTCCCATATTATATCTATGTCTTGCATGTGGTGAGAACATTCAACTCTCATTAGTTTCTCCAGGAATCAAGAGCACTAAACATATAGCAAGTGTGAACTTAAAATAAAACCATACAAATCCACTTAATTCTCTTGCTTTAAACTTGACTCTGTCATGCTCACTTGCCTGTATGGTGTATATCCTATGCTTTTTGAATGGCTTAATCTCAAGTATGTAAGTAGTGACACCAGAGTCACTGAAAAAAATGTAACTCTGAAACAAACAGGTGAAAAAGTGTTTACAGAAGAGGAGGGGGCAATAACTGAGATGTGGGCTTTGTGTCACAGAGATATATTTGTACCAGGGATTTAATGAAATACCTATCTTCTGTTGGCAACCCCCCCCCAACATTTAGGAACAACATGAACAGTTTTCCTGAATCAAATGAATCTTTGTTTTTACAAGGTGCAATGAGCATTAAAAATCTTAGTTTGAATTTTTGACTGCTTCTGTGAGTGTTGAGCTGTTCATATCACAGGGTACTTCTTAAGAGTTCACAGAATAAAGTTATCATCTAACTCCAAGAATTTTTCTTTTGTTTAATGAATCTATGGCAAATGGTGTTATTGTCTTTAGCATGTGCTGGGATGACCTCACACAAATTCAGAAAACCAGAGAATTTTGTCTATCATAATGAAAGAATATTTAGAATGGCATTTATGATTATTCTGTTTTACAATTACACACTGTTTATGAAGATGGCAGGCTTCAGCTGGTGAATACTGATATGCCATCGAGCTGATGCTTTCTGGTGATGTTCTTCAACTAGCAGTAATTGTCAGTGAATGAAAAAAATCCTGTGGAATCCTACAGCCAGAACTTCATATTGATACCAGTAACACAGGGTCTACTTACCCGAAACTTCACAGAACTGTGGTAGAATTTCTTCATTTCTACTTTGTCTGACTACAGTGATAATGAAAGGACAAAAAGGCATAATCAAGAACAGAATATCAAGAATGAGCCTCTGTCACTCAACAATAATCATAATAACAATAATCTTCTGATAAAAGGGATGATGACAGCTAAATTAATGGTGGTCTGAAAGTATGAATGGTGAAATATCTGTAGGGAGAAGCATTGCTGTCATTAGTCCAGTTTACATTAGATCAGATTTTATTAGACCCACTTGACAAAATGAGGTTTGGGGTTTGATTTTTTTCAAGCCTGGAAAAAGTACATTGCATTTTTCCCTCAAAACTTGCTTCTCAACACATCTGTACCAGTTGGTGCTCAGCCCAACCCCCTCCAAATTCAAGGCAAAAAAATCCATTTATATGCAGTAATTCCAAGAAAAATGCAAAGAGTGTTTCTAATGGTGCTGTACAAAATTAGCTCTTTGAAACCTCATATTAACATGCTAGCATTATTAGCATTATAATCAACATTGCATTCATTAGTAATGATTAGCTATTTATTTTTAAATTGTTCTTCATGGGAACTGATGCTAATACCTTAATAAGAAAGGGTAATCACAAGTATCTATAGAAATTTATCTATTATTATACTTTCAGTATGTATACCAGGGAAACTTTAAAAATAACTTTAAAATCTTAAGCATATTTCCATGCCAACTTTCACTATTATCAGTTTAGGCATTAAACCAAATACAGAAGATTGGCCAGTAGATGATCTCCTTGTGCACTAAAATCTATGAATTGTACAAACAGCTTCAAGGGAAATACAAGGTAAACTTCCTACACTAGAGTTTTAGCTCTGTTCATAAAAATTGAGTTTTGAGGGATTTAGGCAGGATTACTTGTTACTGAATGTCTTGGCATGGAAAAGTGCATTACACTGCACTGCATTTAATATCTATCCAAATGATATTTGCACAGCTTTATCTGTAGAAGTATCACTAATATCATGTATGTACAAGGTGTAAAATTTTATTTTAAAATGCTGAACTGAAGCTAGGTCTAAATTACATTTAAGGAAACATAATTTTGAATTTTCTGTCTGTTGGGCACAGTAGCATCACAACGAAATTATCAAAACTCTTTTTTGTCTGAATTAGTGGGTTTTTTAAAGAATCAAAATTGGGGAAGGTTTTAAAGAAAAGTTAATGTTCTAGAAGACCTTTTGGTATGTTAATGGCAAGCTTTTACCTTTTTATAGATACTTGCTTAAAATCTTATTTTTCATTTTTCTATAAAAAGGTAGCACAAAAATAGGGAGAAGAATCAAAATTGAATGTGCATATATTCCCAAAAGAAAATATAAAAATTAAATTATTTTCAAAGTATCCTAAAATTACAGGGATCAAAAAAGCCCACAGTCTCACAATCTGTTGCAAAACACACATATCCTGTCCAACCCTAGCAGAATATGCACTTGTCTTCGACTATGATTCTGGTACAAGGTGACTAAAAAGGTGAAAGTTTCACACAAAGATACAAAGGGATCTATATATGCCTGAGTACATGTGATATAGTCACTGATTCCAGTAAACCTACACCAATTTACTCCTGTGATCTGTATGACTGCTTCTGCTCTCATCTCTGCTTCTGCTCTCATCTCTGCTTCTGCTCTAATCTGTTACTTTCAAATCTGTGTTTTCTATTTTTAAGAATGTAGACAAGGGATATGTTTCTTCCGACACAGGATAATGGAAAGTCAGTGAAGAAGGACATATGTATCCTTTGATAAAAAAAAAAGGTGACATAGGTTTGACATATTGAGAAAAAAGTGTCAGATTGGAGGGATTTCTATATTCTACTTTAACAGACCCATGGAAATTCCAATTCCGATACTCACTATTATATCTCCCCCTTTTATAAACCGCACTCGGGGCTGGAAAATCAGTAAGTCACACAGGTAGCAAATATCACAGATGGCATCAATGGCAAGCCAATATATTATGTTATCTGAGGTTTCATATGGGAACACACAGCGAAGGGGGATAAACCAGCAATTCCAATTATAGGCGATGCTCACAATCATGAGCCATGCTATGTAACGACGATCTGAAAGAAAACACATTGAATTTGCAGGCATGAACTTAGAGTCTTTTGTCATTCTTTTAGACACATTTATTCTATGACAGTCTGGGAATGCTTCTGCTCAGAGCAACCTACCATTGTCCCTTTTTCAATGGCACATGCTGCTAAAGTATATAGATTGGAGCTAGGAGTCACAGAAGGAGTTTGCAAAAGGGAAAAAAAGGTAAGTTTATGAGAGTATATAGAATTTAATGAATTTGAAGTACTTGATACTATAATTTTGCATGCTGGTTGTGTATGTTATAACTGACAAAAGAATTATTTGGCCCTAATAAATGATATGAATTCTAGAGAAGACTTGGGTTCTAATTGTGGTTGGTTTTCATACATCTTTGTTCATACCATCTCTACAGTGTTACTTTTCATGTCTTTTCCCTGTTTGGAATAAATGTTGTTTAGGGCAGGACCTCTGTGTTCCTCTGAGTTGCAAACTGCAATGTGTATCTTATGGTGGCTTACAGGTGCTATGTAACACTAGGTCACTTCAATAGACCTCTACCCCATTCTATGGCATAACTTTGAATTTACCTGTGTATGAGTCTATGCTGTCTGGTAGGTTCATATACTCCATGTATTTTTTCAGTGGAGGTCTCTTGAATTTACAGCATAGCATATCACAGTAATGATCCTCCTCTGGCTTTGCTTCTGCTTCCTCTTTTTTTTCTTCTTTTTTTTCTTCTTTTTTTTCTTCTTTTGGTGGAGGCTTCTTCTTTGGTGCTGGACACATAGAATGCCACAAAGGGTGTCTTTTTAAAAGTGGCTCAACTAGTATACCTTCTTTTAACATGTACAGGAGCTTCATCATGTTAAATCTTGTCTAAAAAACACTGGGCAGTGACTAATATTGCAGTTCATTATATTGATTGTGTGAGAAAATCAATTGGAGAATAGCATCACCACTGGTATAAACATGTGCATCTGCTATCTTCAGGGCCCTTCTGTTACAGAGTACAGTATCTATATATCTGCATTTCCTTGTAACCACAAGTTATGTCTTTTGTAAGACTGGCAAGAAAAAAAATAATCCAGCATTCATTACTGCAACTGGGCATTTTTCTTTGCATGATTGTTGCAAATTGTTGCATGCACTGAGTATGGAGAGAACAAAAATCACCTGTGCCATGTGCTGAACTTTCCCCTCTCCTGAGACCTGATACGCAAGATGCAGCAGGTGGAACTAGAGGGAAGCCTATGGTTTTGTACCCTTATAGGCTTATGAAAGTCTTGTGCTACTCCTTTCAGCCCAGTTCTTCCATCTTTGGCCTGGATAATTTTGTCCACACATTTGTCATATTAATTCTGGTGGCTTTACCTCTGATTAGGATACCACTGATTAGGATTCAGTGAACTGGATCTATAATAATTTAGGAAATACATGATTGTAAGTTCTACAAAGAGAACAACAGAGGTCAATGAGCAAAGAAATATAATAAAAAGAATTCTTTATCAGCTGGTATAGATCATAATTCTTCAGGTACCATATTTTTCATAGCTTTTTAAAAAGCACATAAGTGATAAGCAACTTCTAAAAATATTGGAATGTGGAATATAAAATCACCACACTCAATTCTTTGTGAAAAGGAAAAAAAAAAGTCAAACTTTCCTATGAAGAGGACAAACATCATATTTTGTCAGAAGTCAACGATTAATTAATTTGAGATGAGTCTGCTCTATTCAAAGTGTGCACTTAAAGTCCTCAGTGTGCCCGGAAGATTGCTGTCAAGGCTAAAATTTTATTTAGCCATTGCTGTCAAGGCTAAAATTTTATTTACTTTATTTGCACAGCAGATCTTATCTCAGAATGACTCATATCCACTCAGAAGATATGTATGTTTTTTCATACGTTTTATGTTCATCTCCATGAACAAACATGTCTGGGAGCTATTTTAAAATGCAGAAAACTTCTGGACAGGGATGATTCTAGATATTGCCCAAGGTTTTTTCCCTAAGTTCTTTAGTGATAGGGTTCAAAGGGAGCTTGTGCCTAAGTACTTGGCTTACTGTAGATTAATAGGGATAAATTGACTTCAGTGGGCACAAAACAATCATTTTCAGTGGGTAAACACACTACACTTACTTGAAAAATTTATCACAGTATTTTCTGTTCCCACAAAATAATTTTTATCCTTAAACTCAACAAATGAACAGCTAATTCTAGGGTCACTTACAAGCTGTAGGACTGCCTTCAGGTGAAGACAGCACTGGGTCTTTCAGCTTCTCCTTATAGACATTTGCTCTCTCCCGCAATCTTTTGACGATATCTTGAAGCTGGGCATCAGCATACTCATTTGTTGTAGGACCTGAAGGTTTTGGCTTCTCTGGGCTAATTAAAACAAAAGAAAAAAGCTTAATGTACTAGAAATCAATGGAAGGAAACACTGCTAATTCTATTTTGGAGCTGAAGTCAGACATTAAGATTGGATCTCTATTGAGCACAGTGCTTATTCACATCACTTAACTCATTCTAAGTGGAAGCCTAAGTTAACTGCTCTTGCTTCCTGTTTATGCCAGCAGCAGTCTATGTGTTATTTCAAGCAGAGGACATCAGGGTACCCTGTATAACCCACTATACTAATGACTTCCCACTGCAGCTTTTCACTAAGTTCTACTGTGGCTATGTAAGACCTAGGGCTTATCCGATGTATTCAGTAAGTTATAAGGCATGCTGTTCCCATCTATGCATAAAAATGTGCTCAAAATTTTCTGGTAATATCCTAATGATGACAGTACATAACTGAGCTAAAGACTGAAATGTAGGTGGGGGGGAAGAGCCTATGCTTGCTTTATGCTTCCTAATATTGGGAAATTTGATCTAATCTAGTTTTTTTAATGGTTTATCATGGCTAACATGAGGTAATAAATGCATCTGTTTTCAGTGGAAACAAAACAATGGTATTCTTGCTGAGGTTTCTTCTTTTTCTGCTAAGAGTTTACTCAGGGTCATAGTAACACTGAGTTGGTATGCTGGCACTCACAGCATTTCTTCAAACCTGAGGACCATTGATTTTCAAACACCTGCAAACTCCCATTCTTCACTGAAATGAATGCTTTCATGAGGATTTCTGCATGCTGCACAGTCAAATAGAAAACCTAGGTGGAAGTGATTCCTGATCAACTCTTTTGGGCTTATTCAGAGCTTTAGGGCTGTTTTGGAGTGCCACCCAGCTGTCAGCTGGGCTGCACATTTGAACTACCCCTGTGTGGAGACCAGGGTATGGGATTGCTTTCTGTATCCTTGTCTCAACACTGCTCAACTGATGTGACACAGCTATGCAAGAGCAGGCTGGACATTGCTGTGACTGGTCCATGGCAGCTCAAGGCTTCCTTCCACATAGGTCACAGTTGCCAGGCCTGTACTGAAACCCTAAAAGCTATGCCCAATATAGGGTCTATGGCAGAGAATTGTTCTTTCTTTTGTAAGAGTTTCTCAGCTCTGTCCCAAATGCCATAGGGATGTGGATGTTACAGGAAGAGAAGCAGCAGACCAAAAGTGAAGCATGCCTGAACTGTCCATATTCTTGAGAAAATCTTGCCAAAGGTGAGTAGAAGGAAAGTGGTAGCCCAGCATCTAGGGTAGGGAAGAATTGAAAACCACTGCAAAGTGATCTTTGAATAGACACCATCTCCTCAAGACCTAAACCTACTTTGAAGCTCCTAACAGAAGGAGCTGTAACTAAAAAAGGAGAGTGTCAGAGTGGGATGTGTGTAACATTTTGAGAAGTGCAGTTTTCTGGAGACACAACACATATCACGGTGCCCAAGGAAGTATAATTTAAGTATGTGAAAATCCTTCAGCAATAAAACCATTGGATAAAGTGGAGGTAAGAAAAGCAGAAGAAGAAGAAGCAGAAGTTTGGAAGTATGTGCTTGTCATTCCTCTAATTTAAGTCTTCCTTAGTGTCTATTTTTAAAACTCCCCAGACAGGAGATTAATCAAAACAGTTCTGCTACATTTTGCAATCTCATCACAGTTCCTTTTGTGTCACATATTCCCTTTGCTCAGGTCATCTGCAATGTAACGAAATCCTCTCTTGTTTTGAGCTAGTACGTCACAATTAGTTCTCCAGCTCCTATGCAAAGAATTTAAAATAATTCTTACTATTTGCTATGCTGTATTTGTTAAGGCCATTAGCTATTACATGGCTAAATACACTTGTGAGAAGTGTCACGCCAAAGGCCTCTTCTATTTGCTTTCCAGGGATAAGCTAGAAATTGCATGGGATTTTCTTGTTATTTCACAGACTCTCCTATAAAAATTAAAATCTCCTCTATTATGAATTTGGTGCTATATCTTTGCAATATAGCACAAAGGAACTGATACTAATTAGAATCTATGTGACTTAGTTTAAAGCTATTTGCCCCACAGTTGATGAGATATTGATTTTCCTTGTCTGACTTCTCATTTGGCTTGCATTACCTCCTCCTCTATTATTTTCTAGTAACAAAATTCTTACTTTAAATTTTGTCTGGTTAATGCAGATGGAAGAAGCTGCACCTTGAACTTTGCTAATTTGAAGATTTCTACTGTACATGTGCTTTGTGTGGAGGTGCACTTTAAATTGCCTTCGATAATGAAGCCCATTCGAACTTCACCAAATCACTTTTAATAAACTTGACTCCTTCTCACTCATCAGGTTGTGCTAGGATTTGTCTCTAAGCTGCCTTTAAGCAAATTTTTCTTTGACCTTTGCACAATATATTACAGTAGCCCTAGGTCTATGTTACTACACCATGTAGTCCTTTACAGAGCAGAAATGTTTACTCCCTGTGGAAGTAGTATTTTCATGTGGCCTAGGAAATGAATGTCAGGACCACAACTCACTTACTGTACGAAGTCTTGTTATTGCTTAAAACATATTTTGTTTAACAGCAGCAATGTATTGCAACATGAAAGCCACAACAACAACAACAATAATAATAATAAGAAGAATGTAGTTTTATGATGATTTTAATTTGTAGGTTTAATTTTTTTAACTTGTAGGTTTAAATTTGTTTGTTTAGTGAATAAAATTACAGTGCCTTAATTCTCTCCACGCCAGAAGAAAAGATTTAGACACCTGTAGCATAGTGAAAGAATATGGCCTTGAAAGAAATACTGTTGAGTGTGCTAATGGATGCAACCTCTGTTAAGTACCATGGCTTGAAAGTTTCCTGTGTTAAGAGTTCAAGTGAACAGCAATAAAACCCCACAATAATTATTCCAAAATAAATGAAGTTTAACCTTTTCTGGGTTGCAATCTAGAGCTTAATTTGTTCTTGCTTTTTGGCCATGAACACCGAATACCTGAGTTTGATTCCTTCTTTTATCTACCAGATGATTTGTGAGGAAATGTATTCCATAGATGTATACTGCTGCCTGAAAAAAATCCATATAAACTTTAACTGATTTCAAATATAACCCCTTTTTTTTTGCAGCACTTAAGAAACTTTATCCTAACTACACGGAAATGGAGTTCTTGATCTTGCAATAGAGCTTTCAGCACTTTCATTGAGTGCTGACACTGTGATTTATGCTTGCATTTACAAACTGTTTCTTGAAAAAAATGATTTGTTTTTCTGAATCAATTATGGAGAATCTCAAATTCAGATAATCAGTTTTCAAAAGGATATGGCAATGCATAGCTGTACAAATGTCTGCAAAACATGGTGGCATAGCTGAGAAAGGTTTCAGTGAGACAGAAAATTGTAGCTCCAGGCATCATGAAATGTACTGATTCAAAAACACATCCTCAATTTGTGCTGACAATGCTAGTGTGGGTAATGCCATAGAAAACAGAACCCTTTATGTGTCTCCAGTTGCAAGCCTAAACTCACACTTCCTAAATTACTAGGAAACCTAGTTACAGAAGAGAAACACGTTAGTCGTCTGCTTCCCCTGCAGGAACAGGGATATTTCAAAAAGCTAACTTTAGCTATTTTTATTATGCTCCCCTCATAGTCAATGGAAGACTTCTCTGAGGAGAGGTTCAGAATGTCTGAAATCAGTTTCTGCTCTGGATTGCCTGTGAAAGGAGCCTATCCTTCTCCTCTACTTGCACAGAAAGCTGATGGAGTTTCAGGAGTGAGCTTTAATATTTTCTTTCATGAGGCTGGTACAAAATGTAGTAGAGTACTAATGATGTTTGATAGGATATTGGATTTGGAAGATTAAAAAATAGGAGTGATTCCTACATAGGAAGATTGAATTATTTAGTCCAAGGAATAAGAAATGAGAAATAATGAAAAACACTAGTGTAAATGTAACTCTAGAATGCATATGACATACTGCCAGGGAAGGAGGAATTAATATTGGTCTATAAGTCAATGTGAGGATTATTCTGACCATCTATACTCAAAAAGTGAATTCACTTAGGAGACTATATAAAGTCTCTTAAAATGACCAAGGCTGCAGGGAACATGGCTTTAAAAAGGGCAGTGAAACAGATTGAGAGGCAATAGGATCATTTCCTATACATTCAAATTTTGGTCGAGAACATGTAGATAAAAAAGATATTTTAAGCTGATATTATAATAAGAGTAAATGCGAATAGAAACACCATGAATAAATAAGCGTTAAAAGTCTGAAGAAAGTTTCTAAGCCTTTAATGACCAGATTTCTATGCAGCCTTTTAATATGAGTGAAAGCAGTTGAAACAAGCATGGCAGAATTCACAATTATATTAGCTAAGATCGTGGAAACTCTTGCAGGCTGTGATTCTGTAAGAAAATGAAAGAATGTATGTAGCATGACAGGAAGCCCTTTTTGGCAAACAAACTTAAAATGCATAAAGGTTTGGAAAGTGAATGAGTAACTTGTACCCTCACCACTTGGTGCATTACTATGAAAAATCTTAATAGCTCAAGTGCTAAGAAAGGAGTTTCTGAAATAAATATATTATCTTAAAACAAACTGTTGTCACATTAGATTCCATGGAATTTCACAAAACTGTTAATTTTAATTTTCATTAGAAGTCTTGAAAGAAGTATCTTCCTCTAACCCATTACCTCTTCCTTTAATCACACAATCTGAATGTTGGAAGAGACCCTCAAGATCATCTAGTCCCCCCATCTGTGTAGCACCACCATAATCACTACTAAACCATTTCCCCAAATGCCACATCTAAGTGCCTCCTGACCACTTCCAGTGGCTGTGACTCCACCAGCTCCATGGGAAACTTATTCCAATGCCTAAGCACTCTTTCGGTGAAATTTTGTTTTCTAATATCTAATCTGAACTTCCCCTGGCAAGGGAAAGCATTTGAGAGAGACCCATCTTTAGTGATACAGAAGACTATTAGCTGCATGTTTTGAAGTACTGGCATTATATTGACTTTTGTTTGTAAT